ATACCTGTATGTTTCACCAAAGAAATTGCAGAAAATGGATAATGATAACCAAATCAGCAAGGCCAAGAGAATTAGACGTAGCAGCAAATCAATTCAATTGCAAAGCTAATTTTGCAATTTGATAAAAATTGTAGCCGGCTAAGCAGAAGAGGAGGGAACTTGTCCAAATTATAGCTGGAAATTTCCTAGAAGATGCCTAGAAAATGCCAATGAAATGAATCTGCAAAAAGATATCCAATGAGGTTACAACAAGAAAGGTGCAAAATTAGTTTATTATTATAAAGTGATCAATAATTGTGCAACTGTTTCCTAGTATAACATATAAAAGAAAGACCTAGCTATGGAGGGGGAAAGACAAAATGATGACATGTCATGTGATAAATTTTGATTAATTTATTTCAACTGAAATATAAAAAAGCTAACTTCATTCAATTTAAAAGTATAAGAGGAGATTTATTTTAAGATAGATAAAAATATATTTCAGTAATCCTAGAAGTAAATGGGTAAATATACTATTTTTATCTTTTATCTATTCTAAAATAAGATTCAATCATTTGTCTTCTCCTTTAAATAAATATTTTCCTCCCTGTTCAATATTTTCAAAAATTTTATCTTTGAAAAAGATGATTTAGTTGTTAGGAATCCTTTCACTTACCAAATAAAAACCCAATAAAAATTAAGGACATTAGTAATTAGTCTTGCAAAATGTAAGATGCAGTGCATGATTTAACATTGTTTAAGGTGATAATTTTGTATGAGAGAGACTGGTTGCAAAATATATTTCAACAACATATATTTAATAAGTCTCTAATAAAATAATAATGTGGCATGATGTTATTATATGTCTTGCACCAAAAAATTTTTTAGTTAGTTGTCTCATCCAATTAATTGGCAGGGCAATTTACCTATGTTTCGTGTAGAATGTTGGATCTATCAACTATAATTAGAAGGTGAATTTAGACATTCTATATTTATATATCAACCAGAATATAAGATAATCAAAATTGAAAATAAAAATAAATAACGTACCTGCGAGTTTAGTATATGGAATTGAAGAAACGTATGTCCATTAAAAGTAGCAGCCAATCACAACTCTAGTTATTTATAACTAGAGGGATGTGATGCATATTTCCTAGAAGACAATTATGATTTAGAAAGATCTCGAGGAGATACTTGTATATTTACTAGAAGTACTTGAAAAAGAGAACTCACATTATTAATTAAGTAGCTACTAATTAATTTGGTAGAAGCAGACCATTTGAAAAAGAAAAATAGATAAAGAAAGATGATTTAAAAAGGATTTATCTAATTTGTATTTTTTTAAAAGCTGTTAAAAAAACATTAACTATACTTTTTTGTAATTAATTTATATTAAAAAATAAAAATTAACTTTAAATTTATCAACAACAATTAAAATCATCCAAGTAATATTGGTGTTAAAAATAATGTTCTACTTTTACATTTTTTATAAAAATCTATTATAAAGTAATACATTTAATATATTTTAACATATACCCTAAAAATACAAGGCAGATAAATCCATTCGAAGAATCTAACAATTTGCGCTAAAACAATTTAAAATTGACAAGCATTCTAACTAGAATGAAGTTTCTTCATCAATAAAAATATATGAAAATTCAGATATTTTTCATTTTATATATCAAAGAGAATATAACTAAAGTAAGATCGAAGATCTAAATGATATACCTTCAGGCTTCACTGAAGAAATTGTAGAAAATACCCTAACTGATAGCTAAATCAGGCAGGCCAAGAAAATTAGCAATAGTAGCAAATAAGTTTAACTGCAAGGCTAATTCTGTGAGATGATAAAAAGTGAGTCGGCCAAGGAGAAGAGGAGAGAGAACTTGTACAAATTATAGCCAGAAATTTCCTAGAAGATGTTTGGCAAATGCCCGTGAATGAATCTACAAAGACAATGAGAAAGTTGCAAAGTTACTTTATTATAAAGTGATCAATAATAATTTCAAGGTTGCATTTAATAATAAATAATGTGAACATCTTGGGATTAGTATCAAAGAGAATATAACTGAACTAAAATCGAAGATCTAAATGGTATACCTCCTGGTTTCACTGAAGAAATTGCAGAAAATGGACCCTAATTGACAGCCAAATGAGACAGGCCAAGAAAATTAGAAACAGCAGCAATCAATTCAATTGCAAGGCTAATTCTGTGAGATGATAGAAAGTGAGTTGGCCAAGGAGAAGAGGAGAGAGAACTTGTACAAATTATAGCTAGAAATTTCCTGGAAGATGCTTGGCAAATGCCCGTGAATGAATCTACAAAGACAATGAGAAAGTTGCAAAGTTACTTTATTATAAAGTGATTAATAATAATTTCAAGGGTTGAATTTAATAATAAATAATGTGGTCTTACAAATTAAATTTAAAGTCAACATCTTGGGATCAATATCAAAGATATTATAACTCAACTGAAATCGAAGATCTAAATGGTACACCTCCTGGTTTCACTGAAGAAATTGCAGAAAGTGGACCCTAATTGATAGCCAAATCAGACAGGCCAAGAAAATTAGAAACAACAGCAATCAATTCAATTGCAAGGCTAATTCTGTGAGATAACAAAAAGTGAGTCGGCCAAGGAGAAGAGGAGAGAGAACTTGTACAAATTATAGCCAAAAATTTCCTAGAAGATGTTTGGCAAATGCCCGTGAATGAATCTACAAAGACAATGAGAAAGTTGCAAAGTTACTTTATTATAAAGTGATCAATAATAATTTCAAGGGTTGGATTTAATAATAAATAATGTGATCTTATAAATTAAATTTAAAGTCAACATTTTGGGATCAGTATCAAAGAGAATATAATTGAACTGAAATTGAAGATCTAATATACCTCCTGGTTTCACTGAAGAAATTGCATAAAATGGACCCTAATTGACAGCCAAATCAGACAGGCCAAGAAAATTAGAAACAGCAGCAATCAATTCAATTGCAAGGCTTATTCTGTGAAATGATAAAAAGTGAGTCGGCCAAGGAGAAGAGGAGAGAGAACTTGTATAAATTATAGCCGACAATTTCCTGGAAGATGCTTGGCAAATGCCCGTGAATGAATCTACAAAGACAATGAGAAAGTTGCAAAGTTACTTTATTATAAAGTGATCAATAATAATTTTAAAGATTAGATCTAATAACAAATAACGTCTCTTGTAAATTAAATTTAAAGTTAACATCTTACTATCAGCATCAAAAAAAATTATTCTCTTTAAATCATTTACTTTTTTGCTTTTTATCTATTCTAAAAATAAGTTTCAATCATTTACCTCCTCTTTTGAAAAAAGTTTTTCTCAATATTCCTTATTTCTAAAGAATTTTAAATTTTAAAAAAATAATTTAGTTGACTTCTGGATGACTTAGGGATTCTTTCCCCGACCTAATAAAAACTATGCCACAATGGAGGACATTGATTTAAAATTGTTTGTTTAAGGTGATACTTTCGTTTGGGAGATTGGTTGCAAAATATTTTAACAACATATATTTAGTAAGACTTTCACAGAGTCATAACATAACGTAATGTTACATATTAAACTTTTAGTTATTTGTCCCATTCAAGTACTTAGTGGGGTCATTTGTCTCCATTTTGTATTGAAGGTAACTGGATTTGTTAACTATAGTTAAGAGATGAATTTGGACACGCCACCTTAATACATCAATAAGATTATAAGATAATCAAGATTAAAGAAAAAGATAAATAGTGTACCTGCAGGTTTAGTGGACAAAATTGAAGAAATGGATGTCCATAACCAAATTAAAAGTAGCAACCGCTTATCTTAAATATTTCATGCCTAGTTATCTGTAACCAGAGGGATGCAATGGATATTTCCTGGAAGACAAATATGATGATTCAGAAAGATCACTTGGAGACACTTACATGTTTACCAGACGTTAA